TACTTCGCAACACACATTCAGCCACAAGTCATTATAAGTTATTATGTTATGTTTATTTTTGCATAGTTAACGAATTTAGGATACCTGAAATTTTTGGTTCAAATGTAAACCGAAAAACCGAAACCGCATTTTCGGTTCGGTTTCGGTTTGGGCATTGAACCGAACCGAACTGAACCGTTCGGAGCTTTATGCAAGCTCAAAACATTTTTCACAATTAAAAAATTTCATCTGTATGATGAGTTATAACAGTTTACATTTCTTTAATTAATTAATAGTAAATTGAGTTTATAAAATGATCAATAAAAATCTCTACTATATACTGTATTAGGTTTTATTATTTGATTTCCCCTATGTTTGTGATCATACTTATATCTAACACTTCATTGGGTGATGCAATCAATTTTACAAATTTAACAACAATATATTGCATAATCATCATGAATGTCATAATGGACTATTATACAACCAATATTGAGGACAAAGGTATTGATGCTTAAGGAAGGATTAAATAATAACAAAAAAAAATAAGTGATTTTTTATTTATTTTGATCCAACTTAGAGAAAAAAAAGCACATAATATATAAATACCACTGGAGCAATTTCATGGAAAGCCATTGATGAGCATTACCTATTCATTGGTTGTTCTAATCTATATTTTTACTATCATTATAGAGTTAAATCACAATCACATTACATTGGTGATGACTAAAATTTGGTCCCTGAAATTTTGGTAATACAAAATGTTCATTTTGGTTTTGTTGCCATATGCAAATGCACCTAGTTAAATTTTGGCTTTAACCGAAAAATGTATCAAGTCAGGTGATGAAAATTTCAGATTGCACTATTAATACAACTTTATTTGCAAAGTATATACATATGTGTTCAATTGGATATACATATATTAGTAGGGTTGTAACCCATATATCCTTAGGTCTAGGTATTGATTTCAAATAAAGCAGTATCTAGTATTAAAAAACTTTCTTAAAAAATAAAAAAATTAAGGATTTTGAAGTTTATTATAAAATTTGTATCACTATGTTATTACAATATATATAAAAATTTTCAAATCTCAAAGTTTTAAAAAAGGAGGGAAAAGAAATGTAATCATCATTAATTATGATGTCTTCTTAAAAATGCTTCTCTAAGAAGAGAATTGATAGAATTATAGTTGTTGTTTACTGGTGTTTCATAATCATCCATACAATCAATTGGATTTGTATTACGCAGTTGATTTGCATGATTTAAAATAGAGTTGATCTCTTCATACGGATTTGTTCTGGTTGAGATATGAAGCTTACAATTAATAAGCTTGTCAATTGAAGAGAAACTTTCCTGGGTACTTTTTCGTTGATCATAATTATAATAATGTTCTTTAAGATGACTGTTTTCTATGTGTTCTATTTGGGATTGATTTGAAATATTGGTATTATTATATAAATTATTATGGTTTTCTTGAGGACTTTGAATAGTAGTGTTATTTCTATTATATTTTAGCATAAATAAAAGATTTCACAAATATTAGTAAAGTTAAATTGTTTAATTATATATATAAATACCACACTGGTAATAATAACAACCAAGCTATGAGGATAATTAATTATAAAATAATATAAACTACTCCTCGCTGACGCATGTTTATGACGTTTCCAGCGAGAGTTAAAATACGCATTTTACTAACAATATAAAAATAAAATAAATTGACTATGCTAACCCAGAAGCCATTTCTAATTCAAATTTCATTTTCTTTGTAATAGTTATTTGGATTTTTAGTAGATTGTGAAAAAGAAACTTTCATAGTATATATTTAAATTATTATTAATGGAATTTTAAAAAAGTTCTTTTTTTTTCAAAGGGTACAAAGATCATGTTAATTCATTTGCAACATATATGAATTGATCGACAAAGAAGCATAAATTGTTCTGGAATTGATTTCCAAATTTAGTATATTCCTTGACTGTATTAAGAGAGCCACCCTCAGCTAACATGTTTACAATTGACTCAATTAGGTGACTTTTTGATGCAATTCATTGAGTCATATGAAAAACATATAAGAGACACAATTAAAAATTGAGATTTTGGGAATTAAGTCAGCCAAATTTGTAAAATTTTCTAGGTTACACAATTAAAAATGCATAAAATCACGTGAAAGTCACGGGCGTGCATTTAGGAAGGGTGGTTTTATAAGCATAGTGGACATTCGTTTTATCACTTGTGACAAAATTGATCATTGATCTTTTTTATATTGTGAAACTTGCTATTTCAATTGAATTTAGAATAGAAAAAAGTCATGTGACTGCGCACAAAACCCATTTTATGGAAAATCTATTTTTTTTATATCAATATATTGCTTTGACTTTTCTTTATATTTTGGTAAAACTTGATCAATTTGATCAATTTGATTTCAATAAGTTACCTTAGAAGTA